TTGTGAATGCATTTTTGGAGAAGGTAAAGCAGACCTGGCATCCATCTGTTGGATGAGTTAGAAAGTTTCCTTGTCTGGTGGGGAAGAGGAAGCACTGTGCTGGCAGTATTGAGTTCCCTCCACCCTGTAAACCTCTACAGAGTTGGCAGAAACATGGGAGAAGAGAGAAAGGAATGAATTTTTTAGATTCTTCCTGACATAGTCTACATGTGTTCTCTTACCATCTGCCTCTCCTCTTCCTTTGTCTTGCTAACATTTTCCCTTGTCACAAAATGTTTACATGTGGAGAATGGTGAGATAACACAGCGTAGACCAGCTAATGGTAATTTCCTACAGATGTGTTGTATATTTCTAATTTAGGGCTTTTCCATGCTCTGTAGAGGTTGCTCAGAGTAGAACTGAAAGCTCAAAGCCTTTCCTCCATCTGTAAATACGTAGAGAACCTGCAGTATGTCACATTTCCAAAGACTTAATGACTATAAAGGAAAGACCCTCTTAAAATGCTCTTGATGCAGCTAGGACAGGCCTTGCTTCTGACTAGCAGCTGTGTTTAACTTTTTCTGGATACAGAAAATACCTGTCGGGCCATTCTTCTTGCTTTTTTGTGTCACAGCAGTCTGGATTTACTGTTGCTGTAATCTCACATTGTAATGTAATGGCAATGAAATGATTCCCATCCCAGTCTGCAGAGAGTCTGTGCTAATGCCGTTAAAATGTGCTTACCGAATCAAAACAAATGCGGCATTAGCATGTGGAAACTGTGTTTATGTGATTATAATGTTTCAGCAATATGAGATTACAGTAGGAAGCAACTAATCCAAACCTAGGGAGACTTCCCATTACAAGGCCATTAAAATGACACAATGACTGAAGCGCAACTTTCAGATGGGAAAAGTGGAAGCACAAATCTTGTCATCAGTATTCAGGCAAAACATGTGTTGAACTCAGTGGAGTTTTTACCAGAGTCAGGAATGCAGTACCATGACCTTTCTAGCAGCAAGTCTCTTTTCTCTTAGCAGTACCTCTAGGAAAAATATTTACTTCCCCAGTATTTAATAGTTGGCTAATGGTGAGAATCACATTATATACACCATGCAGTTATTGGTTGTAAAGACTTGTCCAGGGATTATTACAGAAGTGTCAAGGTATTGTTTCAAGGCTGCTGTGAAATGATACAAGTTTTGATTATATCTCAAGCAATTCTCATTATGTTTTTGTCTGAATACGTAATTTTCAGGAAATATCATTTCTTTCCAAAAAAATACAGCACTTAGAGAGGCCTTGGTCTATGTAGGAGCACCTTGGCGATAGCACTGCATAAATTAGTGATTTTCAAAACCAAAATAGGTATTATTGCCAGATACGAACCTACCTGTTTATCTTCTGGTTTAGGAATCAGCACCTTTTCTTCCCCATCCCCTCAGACTGGGTTAAGATTAAGGGAATATAATTTACATGCCCTATGTGGGACAATGTGAAACTTGGTCTATGTAGGAGCACCTTGGCGATAGCACTGCATAAATTAGTGATTTTCAAAACCAAAATAGGTATTATTGCCAGATACGAACCTACCTGTTTATCTTCTGGTTTAGGAATCAGCACCTTTTCTTCCCCATCCCCTCAGACTGGGTTAAGATTAAGGGAATATAATTTACATGCCCTATGTGGGACAATGTGAAATACACTTGTCTTGGATTGTTTCTTGGCTTCCTCATTAGTCCATGGAAAGAGGATAACGTTACAGAAAGTGACTTGTCCTGTCCTTTACAAACATTCAAAAGAGGCTGGATGAGTTGCCTATGGATATGTCTTTCCATCTCCACTATGAAAATGATCTAGATGATTGTTCTGTAGAAGATATACATCATTTTAGATGGCTAAATAAGGTGATACTAATTCAGTCCTTGGTGTATGAAAGAAGAAACTTTCTCAGAAGCAAGATCTGTGTAAAATATGACATGCAAGTCACTAGTAAAGCACCTGAACATTGATTTCTGTAGTAACATATACGTGCTTAAATTGAACAGCAATCCTTACTCCGTTTAAAAGCTGTTCGAACCTAAAGTCTGTTTTAAAAACACTAATTGAACTCTGATTCCAGCAAGTGGATCTTATTAGGAATAATGTATCATTATAGCATAATCAAGGCAGGCAGTCTATGTAAATGACAGTAGGGAAGATATCAAGACAGTGGTTTTAAAAATAATTCTAGTCACATGTTGTTGTCTGCCTTTTTTTTTAATAATTCCTTTATTAAAAGTGGTGGGTTTCTAAAACTGTGTTAGTAAGCAGGCACAGGCATTAATATTAATCATCTTTTTCATGCAGACAAAATTAGGCCTACTTTAAATGCTGTTTGTGTCAGTTTCCATTTTTGTGATGCTTCTTATATTTAGAAAAATCCTTGGCCTCAGTCAAAAGGTTTGGTAAATTCTGTATGTGAGCTGTAATCTGAAATCTAGAGTCTAAATATCAACAGGTTGGTGTCTGCTACAAAAAAACCTTGGCACTGGAACTTGTAATTTTAGGTGTTTCCTGCTGTTATAAATCAGAAGGCAGCAGCCTCAGGCTGTAAGATCTCACATGTGCAACCACAGTTCTTCACAGTGGGCAGGTCAGATTAATTGAGGATAGTCTAAATTAACTGTGTCAGAAAGGAATTAGTGGGAACAAATGCTGAAAGTCAATTTTTCATCCAGGTGGTAATCTGAAAGTGAGCAAAAATTCACGTTCAATTAGAGTGGCCTTTTTGAGTAACTGCACTATTCAATAACTAAAAAACTGAAGTGGAAAATTGTTAAGGAAATGAACTGTAATCGATTTGTGTCAAGCTTTATCAAAAGAACTTAAATACTTGTATATTTAATTGTACAACAAAATTTGTAAATATGTTTGTTTATAAATGGGTTGGAAAATTGTCTATGAACATGGGGAAAGAGAAGTGTGTCTCCAATGCAGAGAGTAGTTATCACTCTTGATGCTGTCAAGGTTTACTGAATGCCAGAGTGTAGATATTTAACATTAAAAAGATAAAAAGGCAAAAAAAAAAAAAATAAAGCAAGGGTAACGCTTAGAATTATGTCAGTCACTTTGCAGTGCATGTAAGAATGACTTAGATCATTGAACTTTGTCCAGAATAGTGGGTTGCTCTACAGAGCACCAGGCTTGTTCAAGGATGGAATTAATGACAGGGTTGGACAGCTTAATTGAATTGCAGCTAGCAGCAGTTTCTGACTAAGACAGGTATTTTGCCTTTAATTATTTGCTCAAGAATAATATTTTCTGAAATCATGCACTGAATTTATTTGGCAAAAAAATAAATCATTATATTAATCAGCCAGCAGTCTGTTCTATGAGAGTAATTATTCTTCTGCCTTCTCAAACAAGTTAGCACACTAGTTTAGAAATGAAATTCCTAAAAGAACAGTTCTTCCTAAGTCTGCTTAGGCACAAGGCAAGTAAACTTAGTCAGTCAGTCGTTTCTCTTTCTTATGGATGGCCAAGTTTCCATACTGCAATAACCTCCAGCAGTACAGACTTCACTAGGCAGGCGGTAGCTGCCCTTTCCAGGGGCTGGGTCACTTTCCTGCATTGCTGCTCTGACAGTGACTACTTCTTGTGAGATCAAAGTACCCCAAAAAAGATCTTGATGTTTCCTGTGCCCTTTGATATGTAGAGTTCAGTGCCCTTCAGATTTCAGTTTTTCTGTCATCCTGGTAGATTAACTTTAGCAGTTAAAAGGAAAATGTCCTCTGAGGGCTTCACCAGCAACAAACCCATGTTTATGACATTATTAACTAAAAGGGAGACAGAAATGGGAAGGACCTCTCTCTTTAATCAATAATGCATGCTCTAGTTAGTCCTGTCCTCTGGACATGATTAAACATGTATTTTGTTTCATAACTGATGATTTTGGTTGACTAGGGATTTTAACTATATATCCTCAAGCCTTTGCAACTAGCATCATGAAGATCTAACATGAACTGGGTAGTCAGGACTACCCCCACTCCCAAAAGGAAAAAACCTCACAAAATCCCAATGGGGAGAGAGCTGCATCTAATTCCAGCCAGCAGTGAGTCAGGCCAAACTGGCACAGGGCCTTTGACAAGAACCAACTGCAGACATTAGCCTCAATGTTTGTCTTTGTCGCAGCTCATTTGAAGTTTTGAGAAATAACGTTGTTTCATTCATGCTACAGATGAAGAAAAAAAACTGTCCTAGATGCTGAGCCATGTAAGTTAAGTGTTAGATTAATTCTGTTCTTAACTGGTAGAATATTTGGCCGGTGAAGCACTTCAGTTTCTGCACTCCTGTTTGGGGGCCATGCTGTATCTCTAGCAACAATTGTCAACGTTAGAGGAGTTGTCCGTGGCTGTTCTAGACCTCCACAGTGCATCTGGCCCCGTTGAAGCCAAAGGAGCAGATGATCACCTCCATCCCTGCATTCCTCATACGGTGGGGCAGACAAGGTGCCCAAACACAGACAGCTTCCTCAGCATGCAAGGGGGACAGTGAGTCTTGGAGGATAGAGATAAATAAACTGCTTATGCCACTAAGGAATAGTGAGCCTTGGTGCCAAGTATGTTCATCTGGTGGCTCAAGCTGACAAAATTTAACAGTGCTGAAGAGCAGAGAATTCTAAATGAACATACAGTGGTTGCTATTAAATAGGAAACATTTATCTTAATGTGATACTAACTGCAGCACGATAAATGATGATGATTTCCTCGTACTGGATTGTGATGTGTTTATATTGCTGGAAATTTGATACAAATAGATTTCTTGGGGCTGGAGTACTGATACAAGCACAGTTGGGTAAAATAAATGCCTTGTTTTTCATGTTGACCTCTCTGCTGTGAACAGCATTTGAAAATATTTCAGCAAACACGCAGTTTATAGGTATGTGTGTGTGTGAGAGAGGAGGGAGCTCAGACATTGCCTGAGAATGGTTTGCTCTTTCTGAAATGTTTTTGTTCCTTTCTTCTTCCTTCCCAGACTCTTTTAGGATCTGATTTTTTCCCCTTTTGTTCAAGAAAAATGTCTTCCTTGAGAGGGAAAGTGCAGACTGTCTTAGGCCCTGTGGAGCCAGAACACCTTGGCTATACATTGACTCATGAACACTTGTCTATGGACTACAGCAGCTGTTTCTGTCCACCTTCTCCAGCCCAAGAGCCTTTGTCTAATGGGCCCATTGAGATGAAGAACTTGTTTTGGATTAAGCAAAATCCTTACAGCCATAAAGAAAACCTTCTTCTGTTTCAAGAAACAGACGCTGTGAAGGAGGAGCTGTTGTATTTTAAAGCAGCAGGTGGTGGGACAATTGTGGAAAATACAACTATGGGAATTCGTCGGGATATGAAGACTTTGAAGAAACTCGCTGAGGAAACTGGAGTTCATATTATTGCTGGTGCTGGATTTTATGTGGATTCCACTCATTCTTCTCAAACACAGGCCATGACAGTGGAGAAGGTAAGTACTAAGCATTGCTTCAGTGTCCCTCTCCTACGAATTTTCCCAAGGTAAGCCAAAGCTGGAGAGAAGTTCTAGCAAAACGGATGAAATATAGAGGTTCTGAATGTGAAAAACTTGGTAACAGCATTACTACTTGTGTGTTAGGGATGGAGCAGCACTACTTGCATGTGCTGGGGTTATCTGTCAGCATTTCCAGTTCTTAAGCTCCATGTTCTCTGAGGGATTTTTTATAATGCAACAGTATAAGGAGAATAAAGTACTTCACATGTGGACATCTGGTACAACACCAATTGTCCTGAGTTTTTTAGTGTTTTTAAGGAAGGAGTATATCCTTTTTATCTCTTTTGCCTCTTTTTTCTGGCTAATTGCTTCCCAATGAGTTTACCCAGAATTCTTTCAAAAAGCATAAATAATTGCAATATTTATAGGACAGTTGTAAATCATTGCTCTGCTCAGTCTGTTATATTTCTCTTCTCTGTCATTTGTCCAGGCTTTTCAGCCTACATTCGTTTGTTTGTACAGTACCTAACACAATGTGTTAATAATAATTGAGGTCCCCAGATATTCCTATAATAATAAACATTCATTCATCTTTCATTAAGAAAATGTGATGATGGGGAGAAGAGGGAAGGGAGCTCTCCGAGGCAGGAGGCTGTGAATGTGGATCAACAGAGCTGAGAAAATTTGTTGCAAATCTGTCACAGTTTACAAATGAGTCAAGTTCATTTTAAATATCAATGGTCAAAAATTGTGGACCCAAGTTGAACACAACAGTACTGCTTTTCCTAAATGTTCTTCCATCACTTGAAATCCGATACAAATAAATTTCTTGGGGCAAAGGTTTCCCTTCTGTATTTGTTGGACTGATGGAGACCCATAGATATCACATACTCAGCACTTAATTCAGTACTTGACCCAGTCCAGAAGGAGAATCATCATCAGTGCCATTTTGTGCTCTCAATTCTGAATGTATGATTAGGATATATGGCCTATTCTGGAAAATAAAAACTAATGCTTTTATAACAAAATAATTTTATTAAGAGATTCTCATGTCTTTTTTGGTCTGTGAATATTTTAAAAGCAAGCTACCTTTGACCCCATGACTTTGTCAGCTGAGCTTTGGTTTTGTAGTTCTGAAGTCAGCAGAGCTCCTGTTGTTTTACATTGGCATTCCCATGAGCAGGATTTGCCTTAAACTTGTCTCTTCAGGATCTTTGCCAGAGTTTCTCCCTTCCCTATATGAATGACAAGATTTCCTTATTCTCTGATCCCTTATTTGACAAGAAATTAAATTGAATTGTTTCTGGAGCCAATTCAGGAGTGGAAGGCTCAGATTTTGGGATAAACGTTTTTTTTAAAAGAAAAATAAGTCTCAGGCTAAATCAAAGTTCAAATTATATGTAGACCAGCTTTGTTGGCAAACCTGGACAACTGTGAGTGGATACTGTTAAATTGATTTGCTTCTGTGTTTATTTTGGTATTAGTGAATGGCTGGCATAACAGTTGACAGAAAACAGATTTTAACTGCAGTGTTTTTTATACACCCAGGTGTTAATTAAATGACTTCAGAAAAGGAAGTATAACTTGGAGGTATAAGTAGCATAGTGTCCAATAAGCCAGATTTGATGCTATTTAACACAAATAGTATTAGTAACCCAAAATCTCATTTTGCTGTTCTCTAGCTGACAGGCATTATTGTCAATGAGATACTCAATGGAGCGGATGGGACTAACATCAAGTGTGGTGTGGTGGGAGAAATAGGTTGCTCCTGGCCTTTGACTCAGAGTGAACACATAGTGCTTCAGGCAACAGCACAGGCTCAGTCACAGCTTGGGTGCCCTGTTATCATCCATCCTGGCAGGAACAGTGATTCACCTTTCCAGATTATCCGCATTCTTCAGGAATCTGGGGCTGATGCTTCAAAGACAGTCATGTCTCACCTGGACAGGTAAGCAGACTATTCCACTGTCCTTCTAGCAGTGTTGCCACAACTCACTGGGTTTTTGGGAAACTATGCTGGAAATACATAAAGTATTATCTTCAAGTTTACTGACTTAAAAGGTAACTGTTTGTATAGAGCTTGATCGTCCTCCAGCACTTCAGCCAGTATCAGCTTTTATATTCACATTGGTAAAGAGATTTTGGTATTTTAAATGCTCTCTTTGAAAGCCTGGGAGAAAGATTAGGAATAACTGTAGCCCCATTTTAAAAATGGGAATTCCATTTATTTGTATCCCTGTACAAATCCCTGTATTTACAGAGCATCAAACATTGAGCGACTGTCTCCAAATTGGGTGGAAAGCTGCTGGATTTCTAGCATTTTTGAAAACTGAGTCACTCTTTAGGGTCTTTCAAAAATATCACAGAAGCTAATGGAGAACTCCTCAATTTGGCTGGGTTGTGGATCAAAGCAGAAGGCAGATTTTTTGTGTTCTGCTACCAGAGAGAAGAAATATTGCTTTAAAAGAAAATAGTTGTGTTTTGAATAGTTCATAGCATAGACCAGAGAGCGAACTTTTCATTTCCTCCAGAACAAAAATCAGGAGCTCCATATCAGACATGGAGAGAAATTGGGATGCTTTTCTGTCTCCAGTTTAGAAATGCAGCCTCTGTTACCAAATCAGTTTTATATGACCTTGCATTGCTCATGGTGAGCTGGAATATGTCCAACCATTGATTCGTTCGGCCAGATGCTGAATAATGAAGACTGTGGTCATATGATTCTCAGCAATTGGATTGTTTGCCCTCAATGTGAGTGTAGTACAGGCAACAGCACTGTGCTCCAAATTCTCCCTGAGAGCTTGCAAATTGAGCTACAGGTGTTTTGTATTCACTCAGAGCTCCTTGTTTTACTTCGGGATTTTAGGAGCATAAAATTCAGTACCATGAAATTGTATTTGTTATTTATGAACGATACAGACATCCCTTATGCATTTGCCTGCATTCTGTTGTACCTATAGCTGTATTTTTCTCCGCTTTTAAATAAAAAATGATTACTTAAATCTTTCTATGAAAGAGGACTGAGCAAGCTGCAGGTATCAGTACTTACATATCCATTTTGATGCAACATTAACATACAGTTATGATTTCTTACCTTTGTTAAATGCAGTGATTTATTGGTGGAAATTAAGCAATATAAGTAGGAAAACAGTCAAGACAGAGGTGCAGTTTCACTAACAGCCGCTGATGCGCAATGTGACATCTCCTTATACCTCTTTCTATCATTACTTTCACACATTCAGGTTGGCACTTGCTGTAACATAAACTACTGTGAAGTTTGGCTTTGCAATGTGCATTTAACATTTTAAGCCTCTTCTAGTGAGAAGAATCCATGTGGGAGCATCCCAGTCCCTTAAATGTGAGATTAATTTGTACGAAACTCCATACTTCATGTCTGCATTTGACATAGACAGAATGGTAGTTTTTAAGTGGATTTACAATGAAATGATGAAACTAAAATGCTGGCTACCATGTTTTGCAAATGTAGCACCTTAGATCAGAAGGTAGCAAGTGTCCATAGTGAAACTCTGTTGTAGTTAAAGGCTGAGAAGCAAAAGCTATTGACCCTATTGGCCAATTTTTAGGGGCTGAGGTTATAAAGGTATCTTGGTAGAGATCAATATCCATTCACTTGAGTTGCTTTTGTTAGAAGACTCACAGCAGCTGTTATGAATGTGAGCTTCATAATGGTTTGGTGGCTGTCCCCATGGTAATTTGTGGATGAGGTCCAAACTACAGGATGCTTCACTGTGTCCCACCTCCTTTTCCATGAGCTCAGGACTCCTCAGGGACAGTGTTGCCCAAACACCCAATTCCAGCACAGAGATCAGCAATTTGAGCTGGAAACTGCTGCTACCTCCCTGTGGCTCACAAGGGAACCCACTAGCTGATGAAATTATCCTCTCCTGCTCTTCACTGGGGCAGAGCACCCAAAAGCATGACAATAACAATAGTTTTAAAAAGAAATTGTTCTGCCTGTGATTTCGAAATATATTGTTGGGTGTTTTTTGCTACCTGCACAGGATTGAATATTCTTGGTGACTGTCTCCCTGAGGACCGAGCAGGGCTGGACCTAAAATAACCTGTTCCCTTGCTCTGCACTTTGAAAACTCATTTGGTGATAAATGTTCAGTCTCTGTAAACTGTAACATTTATTTTAAAATAACATTTTTTTATTAATTACTGTTGGCAAGTCTTAGACTCCTGCTGATGGCAGGCTTGTTTGAACAAGGGTTTTCTCTCTCTCAACCCATCTGTTCCTCCTACTTGGTCCTGTTGTTAAGTCATAATATTGAAACTGTGACATCAGTCATTTCCATAGCAACAGACTGTGATGTAATTGTATAAGGTTAAACTGCTTTGTGACATCAATATCTGCAATAATAATAATAATAAAAATAATTAAACTACTTCCCTTTTGGTTAACTTTGCTGTTCTTGTGGAAACTTGGATTTTTCTTAGATGAAAAAAATAGTGTTGTGGCTGTTAAGATAAAATTGTATCATTTAAGTGGTTTTTGTTTTCCTTTGGACAGCTTGGTAAAAAATGGTTCAAAGGAACACCAAAATATTCCTAAGCCCTCTTATTTCTGTTGCTGTTCTTTTCCAAATAAGCAAGAAGTGTTGGAAGTTTTCTTCCTTTACTTTCCAAATCTACTGCAAAGCCCATGTCCTGGGTACTCACAGTGACGTTAGATATTTGGGTGAGAGCATTTCCTTAAGGTGTTCTTGCCACATCCCAGTGCAAACAATGATATATTGCTGTTCTAATGGCAATCTAGAAACATCACTGTACAGAATAGAAACTAAAGACAAAGTTATGTATTGCTGGTATGTGATGCATAAAACAAGCCCTGGATGGAGCTGTCTCCTGTAACTCTTTTGGGAAAGTAAATGTGTCTTGTGTAAGTAATCCATTGCCTTTTTCTTTTTTAATGTCACTATGAATTAACCTCCTCCTTAAATGTCCTTCCTTGTTAGGTTGTCTGTTGAAAGGGTTAGTGATATCAAAAGTAAGTAACTTTCCTGTTTCCATTTAAAGATTATTTTTCATTATTTCATGGGCAAAGAGCTGGTTTTGTCTTGGTTTTTTAATGCATGAAATCCTACATGAATGTGAGAAAGACAATGCTGTGTATCAGGTTAAGTTGCATGTGTCAAGCACCAGTCCTGTTTTTCAAAGGGGTGAATTAAATCTTAGATTATTGGTTTTGTTCCTTGCAAGTAGGAGGTCACAATATCTGTCCTCATACCATGAGATGTTTCTATTCCTGTTACAATGCTGACTTTGTGTTATATATGTTCTGCAGGACCATATTTGATACAAAGAAACTTCTGGAATTTGCTCAACTTGGATGCTATTTAGAGTATGACCTATTTGGTACAGAATTTCTCCATTACCAGTTCCATCCTGATATTGACATGCCGAATGACAATGAAAGAATTGCAAGGTATCTGTTTGAGCTGTAGCATGGCCATTGACAAAACATATTATTGCTCTGTGTTTTAAGGCCATCACGGAGTGATTCTGCTTGCTCTTTAAAACTGTCTTTTTTCGTGCTAAAATAATGACGTTTTTCCCTGCTGCTCTCATGCCTTTAGAGCAGCATGTATCGTTTCTTCTATCTGCAAAGGAAGATGCAGAATCATAGTGTTATAGAAAGTTACTTGAGAAGATCAAGAGCTTTTTTAACTTCTTTCTCTGTCCTAATTCCATGCTGACCTGGTTGAATTTTATCTGAATTTATCTGAATTTTATCATTTACTGCATTTATACAGTCGGTAAAAAAGAAAAGGCTGGAGATACTGGATTTATGTTAAGGTTTGGATTTTGTTTGAAACATAGTATTGGAAGCCTGGTGCTGCTACTAAGCATCATCTGAGCCTGTTACACCTCCTCGCTAGTGTGCTAACCCAGCAAAACTCATTGGTTGTTTAGGATGGATATGATCCTGTGCTTCTGTCCTGAAAAACAGCCTTTTGTCTTCCAAGCACTTTGTCACTGTTCCTCCCCCTCTCCTTTTGCCCTTTCTCTCTTTTGAAGGATGAGGTTTCTGTCTCCTCAGAGCTCCCGTGCTCCTCACACTCACTCACAATGTGAAAATATTGGCCCCACTGGCAGGATACCTCTTCCCTGCTTCTCATCAGCACCTGCAGTCTCAGCTCAGCTGCACAGCAAGTCTGTTGTGCTGTGCTAACACAAGGTATTGCCAAGAAGATGCATTGCGTGCAGAAACTGTCTCAGAGAAGGTGGGATCGGCTGGGAGTGGGGACCTCACTCCTTCCACTCTGTCTGGAGGTGTGATCCTCCGTGCTATTTGCCCACAGTGTTCGTGAGCAGTGAAGTGACAGGTGTCTGAGGGGTGGGCTGCCGTCCTGCCTCTGTCTTTTTTCCTTCCAGTCACAAACAGTTCTTTGATTCTCCTTGATAAGAAAGATTTTATGATCCCTGATCACTAATGAAGTAACTCCTAGCTTTCACTTACATTTCAGATATAGCTTCCCTCCCCCTCATTGTCAGAATAACCTTGAAACTAATCTCTGCTTTCAAACTGTTCTCTCCTAAGAAGGTGCCGTGGTTACTCTTCCACTCACTGCCAAGTGTTTGCTGCTGCTTCTCACACTAGAAATTGTTTCTCTCTTAACAGTGCTCTCAGTCTTGCACTCAGTATTTTTAAACTGTTGCAATGAATCTGCAGTTTGCACATTTAGAATGAGCAAAGTTGCTCCCTCTCCTGTGCCTTTTCCCCTCCTGTGCCAGAGGAGATCAGCATCTATGGAAGCACTGGGGAGTGTGTGTAGAGGATTGGACTATGCCTTGGTTAACAAGTGCCTGTTAATTGTGACAGTTTTCATTCCATCCATAATCTTGCTCAGCCACTGATGTCTCTCCTTAAACTCTCTGGCATTTGAGCATTTCTTGCAGAATGCTATTCATAGGAAGAAAAGATGAAAAAATTTTCTTCTCTTTGTATAGTGTGAGTATGTGCATTTGAGTTAGAAGTGCCATTAAATGGGTATTGATACACCCACAGTGGACTTAGGATGGCAATGACAATCTCCTTAGGGTTTTGTTTTGTCAAACAGTGCCGAAGAGGTGGAAATAAAATTGACCTCTACATGAAAATGCTAAATGGAAACTACGTGTTTGGTCTTTTGTGTTCAAAACATAAACTTTTGTAGTCATGTTGTACCTACTCAACACAGTTTAGCTGTCTGTGTACTTAAGCTGCAATCTACTGTCAGTGCAAGTAAAGCACTTTTTTTTGCAGGGACAGTTTTAATTTGAGTCAGAAGCAAGTACTAACTAAACTTACAGGAATGATCAAAAAGGAGAAATGAATATGGAATATAAAAGATCATATGACTCCCCAAACCATGCAATTAGGGAAATTATGAAAGGAGATGATTCCAAGGAGATGTCTGGTTGGCAAAGAACTTAGTCCCTCCAGTGCCAGTGCTTTTACTCTCTGGTTGGCTTGCAGTCTCTATTTCAGGCTAGAGTAGGTACTTGTTACTGTAATGCTACGGTATACCTAGTGTTGTGCACTATGTGGCACTATTTGTGGTGGGGGTTTTTTTTAAAGATGATAGAGTTTTACCAAGTTGTATCTTACTTGTCTTCTTCGTGCTGCCTGTATTGATTAGATCCTGCTACATACATCTCCTCATAACCACATGTAATAGAAACTGTTAGGATGGGCTTTCAGATACAGTGTAGTTACTTAGAAAGCAAGTATCTGCTTAGTATCTGCTTTCTTGCTGATCAAAACACAATCAGGAAGGTAGGAATTTGAATTTAACAGCACAGGCAAATGATGGAATTGAAGGCCTTCATGAGGAATGAGCACTTTCCAGGTCTGATCTGTCCATCTGTGCCACTTCAGTGCTGCAGTCTACTGCCAGACTAGCTGAAGCTTACTGGGAAGCTTAACAGTCACACAGTACAGGGGTTTAGACACCCGTCTAATAAGTTGCACAAAATGAGCTGACCAAGGGATTAAGACTGCGTGAGTGAAACGTGGAACAGAAGGACTTGTGGCAGTCCTGCTACAAGGGAGTGACCAGAAGGATTACTTCTTTATTCATGCTGACCTGTCATTTTGCCAAGCCTATTTAGTTGGGCTGCCATATTAGCTCCTCTTATTTCCTGGCACATGCTGGTGCTGTGCCATGCCGGTCTCATTTATCTTCTTCTTTAATGAACATCTTTGAAACATGTTTGGATGGTAACTGTCTGTATGGAATATAACACTGACAATTTCAAATTTTTATTTTGATGGTGTGCTAAATGGGATTTAACTCAAGATGTGGCAGTATTTGTGTAATTGAGCCTGGCTTCTTAAAGGACCTGTCACACACAGAGTCTGGCCATTAGCAAATCTGATGGGACCAGCTTTGTGACAGCAGCAAGAACTAACCTTCTGGGAAGGAATTTGTGTAGGAAATTATTACTTACTTGTATAAATAAAACCCGTGTCCCATGCGTAGTGATGCTGAAGCTCTTGAATTCCTCTGTGGACTTAATGGGACTGCAACATCATGTGCCAGTAGGAAAGAGTTTTCCTTCTTCACTTTGAGATGTGTGGTGGTATATTTTCAGAGATGAGGTTGGGTTTTTCTCATTCAATAAAAACCACGTTTTAATTTCAAGTAAATATATAAGGAGTGTGTCTTCTGAGTACCTAAAATAAGTATTTCTGTTATAATACAGTCCAGCAGTGCAGTAGTGTGAGAAGTGTAAATCCTGGTTGGTTCTGTGCTGTTGCAGAGTGAGAACTTTTACTGACAGGTATACTTTTTACTTTTGCAGGATTCGTATGCTGATCGATGAAGGCTACGAAGACAGAATTCTGATGGCTCATGATGTGCACACTAAGAATAGGTTGATGAAATATGGAGGTCATGGATATTCGCATATCTTGAAAAATATAGTTCCTAAAATGCTAATCAGAGGCATATCCCAAGATAAAATTGATAAAATACTCCTAGCAAATCCGAAGCGGTGGTTGACTTTTAAGTAGGAATAATGAATAAATATTCCTGTTTTATAGGGAAGCTTGATAAAATTCAGATTTCTTCCATGAGAGCAGCATTTTAAAATTTGGTTCTTTTCACAGAAACTGGAAATTATTAAGTAGATGCAAACTGATGATAACTTTTTAATTAGAACATCAAAATTTTGTACTCTCTGCATCTTCTCCCTTCTAGAAGTCTGTTCCTGAATTCTTTAATGACTATGATCCTACCTGCAAAATCTTTCCAACTGAAATTTTAAAATAATTGTTTCTAGAGCATAATCTAATACTGTTATTGAATGTTGCCCCAAACTACCTGAGAAGATGCATCACCTGGACTTTGAAGGAAATTATGGTTTTCAGTTAAATTTCCTGGCTGCATGGGCTGATATTAATCCTTCTAATATTGACAATCTTCTCATTATCCTTGTATTCTTTAAATAATGCTTGATGTAACGTCTGAAACTTTTTAATAGCTTCCATAGGCAACAGAAAGCAAAAGGAATCTCAAATAAATCTAAACGGATACTGCTTCTTTCTAGTTAAACAATTTACTTAATTTTAACTGAAAGTGTAAAAAGTACATGAAAAAATATCTTTGAATAAAGCGATTTGATGACTTCTTAAACTATGTGCAGTATTATATACAGATGTCTTTTTTTAATTGCATCAACTTTTGGAATCTCACAGTAATCATGTCAAACTTCACACACACCAGCTTCTCTTTGTAAGGATGCAACACCAGAAGTCAAAATATATTACATAATACAGTTTTAATGAGTTGTAATAGTTATAACAAAGGTTATGATATCAGTCTTTACAAATCAGTATATCAAGATATGATGAAAAAGGAAGAAATGTTTGCCTTATATGTGGCTTTCACATAAAGTGTGTTTCTTGCTCTTGTCTAACTTTAACCAGGGCAGGTGATTTATCCAAAAAATGGTCTTATCCAGTAGCAGTGGTAGCCTGATTCCAAAAGCTTCTTCAAGTTTGACCTTGTGGTATTGAACTTCTCCAATAAACACCTTGTTAAACACGCAGCGCTAGTTGCAAGTGATCTCAAGCTTGGTGCAGTAGTTTGACACTGTGTATAGAATCTCTAGCTACACTGCTCTGTGAGTGTGCTGACCAATAAAACAACAGTGGAGTGGACAGACCAAGGCAGTTACACATCTGTTATTAAAATAATTGCCTCAGAGGAAGAAAACAGGAGTAATCACTGCAATGTACGGATATAGATTGGCACTTTGTCATAAAGTAAGAGCATTAACCATTCTGGTGAGACACTACACAAGCAGCTGGCAGCACAATGTCCTTATAAACCCTAGATGAGTTTGCCTGGTGATCCTCTCAGTCAGCATTTGTTTCGAATTGGACAACTCAAAACAGAAACAGGAAGAGTAACACGTTCTGTTTAAGAAAAGCTTCACTCATTCAAACAAGAGATTTTCAGAGAGATGTGCAAAATCTGTATCAGACTTTTACTGAGCAGCCAGCACTGAAGAGCTTTTATTTTGTCACAGTGGCAGACACTTTGGACATTTTAGTGCAGATAAATCTTAGTTTGTACCCTTAGTACATTAGACAAGGTTGCTTGTGGCAAAGCACATGAAACAGTGATGCCGGGGTAGCTTCTATTACTCTTTGATGGTTTACAGAAATGGTACCTTGATTTTGCCAAAATGTTAAAAATAAATAACATAATCAACTGTGCTAAAAAACTTTAATAATCTTGCTGAAATTTAGGTTTAGAATGAAATCTGCAAGTTTGAACCTGAGAGAAATAGACAGCCTCCCAAAACCAAAACAAATAATAAACCCATTCTCTGAATAAAACTATTCTGTGGACGTTACTGGTATGACTGATTTTAAAGCATTTTTATAACTATGTAACTCCTGCTACCTGCGTTTAGTTTAATTTTCCAAGTCATTAATCCTTCATATGGATCAAACTCTTCTGATACTTTATATATCTATATCTATATATATACGAATGAGAAAAATAGGTTTTAATACACACTCTTTTTTTTTTTTGCATGTAAATAACTGCTTCTTTCTTTGCATATGTGTTATCATTTTTGGTAATATGCTTATCTGTATCCATCTCATAGGCACACCTTACTACAAACTGGTAACTAGCTTCCGTGGAAAAGGTCTGTGTGATAGCATTTTCTCAGGTGTCAGATCTCCCACTCTTCCTTTGCAGGAATAATCCCACTAACTTCAGTAAGACAAGACACCTAAGACAAATAAGGTTTTGACCCATTATATTCCTACAAAATTCTAGTGGAACATCTGCAGTATGTTAATCTGTAACTACTCTTTTTTTAAATAGTACCCAAGTACAGACTAAGTGCTAGAAGACTAATGAAGACTAATTGCTGCAAAGAAAACACTCACCCTTAGTCTGATGATGTGGATGCCAGGCTTGCTAAATATTTACACAACTAACCATCAAGAATGGGCCTGTAATAATTGTCTGAATATATATTTACACGTATACAAATTAAAAGCCAGATCCCTTTTCCACTAATAGCAATGGGAGTTTTGCCATCGGCTTTGGTGGAATCAGGGATTGGGCCCAATAGAATAGTTTGTCTACTGTTATATTCTTCAGGGCAAAAGAAAGTGTTTCTTCTATACTCCTTTTTCTTTTAGGTCACAGCTAAGGGGAAGACAAAATTTAAACAACTCCACTGGATTGATTTTACGTTAAAAGTCTAATGTAAACCGACAAAGCAGGAACATAGAGTTAAGGCTTGAAGCTGATTAGTTCTAGTTTTAAGTGGAAGGGTAAGAAAAGTACAAGGCAAACAATTTCTTTGCAGAGAGAAAGTATATTTTGAGTACCTCTTCCTTTTATTGTAAAATCATTCCTCACCACACTATGAGTGGACTCCAAGCATCATTGTTAGCAAGTAAGTCACAAGAACCAAAGCTGAAGTATGGATAAAGCAGCAAGATCATAACACATCAAAGTATCATATACACTGAAGAAGTAACTCAGCGTCCTTAGGTGGTGTTTCTTTTTCCTATCAAAATTTGATCTATGTAGGACTTCATTCACATGGACACTAACAATGAGGAAGTATTTGCTTTGGCGGTAGTGGATCGCACATCTGTTTAACTTGGTTTGTGATTTTTTTTAACATAAGGTTTCTCTGTGTTGCACAGATGTGAATCAGGTAGCATTCGACTTGTTTCCCCCGATACTGAGGTGTTCGGTGGTCGCTCTCTGCTGGGATGCTTGTTTCACTGACTTTTGCCACGCAAATCCATCGCTTAGAAGAGCAGGCTTCATTTTTGGATTGGTTTGGTGGGTCTCTTTACTCATCATCAGTCAGCATAAATAATAAATCCAGAAAATGTGCTGTATTTGTTGTTGTTTCCTCCATGTGCTTTCCCTCCATCTAATTTAATGTAAACTTCATCTCCTGGCTCCAAATGAAGAACCACACTGTTACTGGCATAGTCGTAGTTCTGATCAGCATCCTGAGCAATTGCACTAGCTCGAACCTACATAAAATACATAATGAGTGGTTAAGAAAACTCAGGTAATTTCTCCTGCATGGTGAAAATAAAGCATATCTTCAACATTTTATTCAGCATGCAACATATATTGTAGCTTTTTCCTATGATTATTATTTATTTTCTCCTACAATACAACATCTGAAACTAGAGCAATAACATGCCTCCCTTCTCAGTCATCTGATTAATACACAGCTGTTTGATCTCCTGGAGATGTCTGGAGTCTTTTTAAACATATGCATAAGAATAGCTGAAGTTGGGAGATCTGAATGTGTTCATGTGCCAGTTTTACATTGGTGTAACTTCTATTTCAGTGGGACAAGTGCTTGACAATGGTGAGGATGCACAGGGAGGCCCACAGGGAGCTCCCAAGCTGGACTTTTTCCAGAGGCAATTTATTGTCATACCAGTAATAGGATCATGCTGCAAAAAAAAGAATGCAAGTACACACCCACCCCCAACCATGCACACAAGCAGGTAAGGATCCTAGTCAGGGTTTGGAAAAACTGTCATTGCCATGTTTCAGTGAGCAAACATTTAATTTCTCTGAGTTTTAAGAGATGCACATTTGAAAAATCACAGGCAAGTCACTATTTGCTTTAAGAGGTTTTGGAATTTACAAGTCATTGAGGACTTTCATTTGCAACTTTCACTTACACATACTTTCCCATTTCTCCCTTGCTATTCTACTACTGGTTAAATTTGACATTTCTTGCAAACTGGAAGTAATGTGTAGTTTCAAGATATATGTTGGTTTCCAGCAGTGAACAGCCTGTGCCTTTGTACGTCTCCGAATCATTTATATATAATTTGACCCTGTTTGGTAAAATATTTAAACTTGGTTGTAGGTGATTTATTTCAGTGTAACACGTCATCTGCTAGTTGCTTGTCTTTGTTCTAGCATAGTTACAGAGCAGTAAATGATTTAGTGGCATTGCAAAGCTGAACTAAGTAATAATGCATGACTAGGCGTACTATATGTGGGATTTTATCTGTTCTGAATTGAAAAAATAGGTTATAAGTCACAATTTTCCATGGATTCCTTTCAAAGTTTACATGATAAATTTCCAAATTAAATTTTCATGTGATATGATTTCACATTAATATTGAAACGTTAAAAAGGAGGGGGTTCTTTTACCATGCAGGATCTTATGGCATTATGCAGCTTAAAAAGCACAGTAGGTGGAAATTCTTTATGCATCCTGTAAGAAGAGTGAGAAAGGCTGCAAAGGCTTGCAGCACTGTGACAGGCTGCAAATTTAAACTGATACATGGCATGATGATAAACCCTGACTATTTCAGGACTTCTTGATCCTTACTTGCCTGGTATTGTTTACAGAGGTAATCTATTTTGCTACTGTTTAAGCAATAATTATTCTAAGCACTGGATGTTTCCTCTGGATTAATGACTGGCAGGGTGGAGTTGAAGGCTCTGGGCCATTAACCCTGGAAATATCTTTTGGAGAAAACTGCAG